CCTCTCTCTCTCTCTCTCTCTAAATATAAATAAATATATATATATATATATATATATCATGAAAATAATTAATTAAGCAAGAAATAGGAGCACTGTCTCCGCCTGACAAGTTTACACTCCGATCCCCATGCCTCTTCATTACACTGCCATTTCACACTTTAATACGCTCTTTTCTTGTATGTAACTCATACTGATATTTAAAAGCCAAATTGTGACTCCGCCTCCTTTATCTGGTAAGGTTAGTTATTGATACATCGTAGCACACAGTATAACTTACCTTTTAGTTATAGCACATAAAATAATATATGAACCTTCTAGGCTATGCTACTCATCTCAAAACTTAATTATCGTAATACATTGTTTTGAGATACTATTAATCAGTAAATAAGTCAAGGACTTACTTAAAGATTCTGTCTAATAAATAAGGGAGTGAATTCTTTCGTTTTGCGGTATATCAAGCCAACTATGTAAAACTAATTTTATATTTGAATATAGTAATGGTTATAGTATCTATTTTTCCCGAAATCGAGGTTTGCTGAGATATCTTAGGTAATTCAGCATTCGTATTTAGATCGTAGATGTGAAGACCAAGATTGTGAAGCCTTCTACTTGGTATCTGTCTTTTTTAGCTTTATAATGTTGGTTTGACTTCGTTTTTGCAATTTGGTCAGAGCATCAGAGATACTTTGTCGATGGTCCGATGTCAGAAATCACAAATACTATGGCAAAGGACGTATGATTAGATACGTTCCACAAGGTCTCTCTGACGTTCCGACCATGTTGCAAAAACGAGGTCAACTCTGCTTTCATATGTATAAATATGAAGTTTTCTCTTCGGAAGTTATTGAAAATGAGAGAATTCGAAACTAAAATTCCAAAATTGAATCTAACATCTTTTATGTATCATGCATGTCTATAGATAAAAATCATGGCTTCTCCCAAATCCCTTAATATATGGCTTTTGGAAGCCAAAAACGGGCAATTATGGCATTATGCTGTGAGTTCAATCAAAGAAAATAGTCTTATTTATAACGATAACAGTTATTTAAATGATTATAGATGAAGCCATATAAAATCTCGGTTTTACTAATAAAGCATTTGTTCAGAGTTATACTATACTTCCGTTGCTTAAGACCTAAACCTTTAAAGGTTAGCATTTTTTTATTTTTTATTTTTAGTTGAGATGCTAATAAAATACACACAAGAAAGTTTCTAAAATTTAAATATGTTAAGGATTTAAGGCATTTTGTCAGAGTTGCTCAAGTTTACTTAGTCCCATTAAAAGAATACGTTTTTCCTATCAAATTTACTACTATTTCTTTGATATTAATGAATTTTAATCTTAATTTTAGTTGGATATCACACCAGCCTGCCATTCTGGTATCAAATGGCTTAGTAGATACTTTAATGCTTGGCCGACTCTGAGTGTAGATGACGATTCATCAGGTGAAGGCAATCACTTGGATAAATCTGAAGGAAACCTTCTTTCAGTCCGTACGGCAGCTGGGCCTCAGAACGAATATCAAGCTCCTATGAACATAAGTACTAGTGAGCAGAGTTCTGATTATAATAGTGTTTATTCTGCCTCCCCTTTGAGATTAAATGAAGGGGTCCTGCCAACGAAATCCCCACGCCAACTGCTTGAAGCATCTCAGAGTTTGCTGGATGTTTCGCCTGAAGCCGGATCACCTACCGGCATTTCCTGCAGACATCGGTTGAGTGACCATAATACATGGCGCCAAGGTATAGCTAGATATATATTGCCTCCCTCCACATACCCCAGTCATGATGCAGTGGCACCTTCGTGGACCGCCGCAACCAGGCCCCGCAACCACACTTCTCTCATCTCCTCATTATCCCACTCTTCTTATGTCAACCTCTGTCATTCCTCATCCTCACATGAGGATTTGGTTCGTTTTCCTGGTCTGGCAGTGTTGCGCGAGCTTCTGGTGCTACGTGGAGAAGAGGCTTTCATTCAAAGAGGCGAAACAATGGAAGGAAAGTTAAAATCAAATAAGTGGGAAAGGATATTTGGGCAGAGAAAGAAATACTTCAGACGTTTAGTGCTTGGAGAAGCTCAGCAGGCTGCTGAGTTACTGCGGATGAGGAACAACCTAGCCGTTGATGGTTTAGGCGTCCGAATGCTCGAGATAAGTGTAGGTTGATGTTTAATTTTGGTGTGTATATATATATTTATAAGTCTTATTATATGCCAAGAAAATAAACGTACAGGTTTTTATGAGAGCAGTCTTGCACAATCCCTAAATAAAACTTTTATTATCATTATTAAATAAACTCTAAAAGCCGCTCAAAATCGCTTTAATCATATCCTGCAGTACATTGATAAGTATAATCAATGCATGCGTCAAGTCAGCATATTGAAAGAATATATGATAGATCATACTAAAAAGTTGTTCAAATAAACTGGTTGTTTTGGAATTCAGCACTCCAGCTACTATATATATCTTTTAAACCTAAGTTTAATGCTTCTTTTGCCAAACCTTCAAAAGATGGAAGCTCACAAGCGCAAGATTGTGGAATTCATTAAAATTTATTAGTCTTTATCTAATCCCCATTAGGTATTTTAGAATTCAGATTAAGATCCTTACACCACAATATATTTACTCAAGTTGAAGCTCATGCCTTAAAGTTGTTGCGCACAGCGACATTACATAGCTAATAGAAAAATAGTGCAAATCTTAAAATGATACGATAAGCAATTTGCATGATAGAGCCAAGTCTATTATGGATCTCATTATCCTTGAATATTTGTTAAGCTGTATTTTTTAGATACGAGGATAAACTTGGTTTCGATAAATCTCCTGAGATAACATTGTTAGGGGGACCTTTTACAATAAAATTTTTCAATGGCGCCCTACCATAAGTAATACTATTCGTAAGTAAGAGATAAAAATAAATAAAACTCGTGTATCTGCATTATTTTTTTAATTTTATTTACATTAAATTAATATTTAATAATTAATGTGATGGATGAGCCTGCAAATCACTGCACATTTTCTCAAATTAAATCTTTTACAATATTTCGCGGTGCCCCTGTAAAGAGGTCACGGCTCCCCGGGGCGCAAGCGGAGCACAGTTTGGGAATCACTGCTGTAGCAGCTTCTCTTCCTTTCATTTAAGATAGCAAAGATGTTGTCTAACCAGATCTGGGTTCTCCTTTACTCTTTTAAACTTGATATATGAGTCCGATTGGATGATTTAATCTACTTATTTAGTCTCGAAACTCTACTTATATAGGAAAAATATGCTTTTATTTAAACATAGGCATAATTATCTCTAATCCAATTCTCACATCAGCCGATATGAGTGCGCTTGAAAAAGTAGCACAAAGCACTTATATGAGATGTAATCGCCTTATTTAGTTTTAGATGATGAAAGACCGGTAGTTAAATATTGTTATTCAAAAATAAGAAGCATTGTGCTTTCGGGTAGCTTCATGTCCTCTAGAAGAGCAAGAAGTTGTATGGAGTTTACAAAAAGGTTTTTACAATTTATATTTGTGTCAATGGAATTGACAATTGGATAAAAAAATACAGTGCTAGGGGGACCTTCATGAAAGTGCATGAAGAAGAGATTCGTTTGTCAATCTCACTAGATGAGGACGGATGAATCTCATTGTACTGAAGCCGTTTGGCTTTTGCACCATATTCATGTCAACGCAGTTTATAAGACTTCCTCCCTCGTTTTGGGTGAAAACGTGCTGAGCTTTCGTCCACCACTTGATGGACAACATCAGAGCTGTAAGAGTCTCATGTCAGCACTAGGTCAAGAACACTATCCGGCTCTATCTTACTTCTTATATAGACTCAATAGAGCCAAAAAAATTAAAAATTAAAAAACTAGATAGATCGATATAGAGTAGTTTGGTTAATTTTCTTTCATACTGGTCCTGTTATTTTTGCTGAATTGTATGAGTATGTGTGTTTGTGCATGTTAGCGTCTATATGCAATACGGTTCTTAAATCAGACTTGTCAAAGGTCGAATCTCAGGTTCTGATCCTCAAGACCTAATGACCCAAGAGAAAATCTTTGACCGAGACTGCGTAGGTCCGTAAACAAGTATGGTTGAGATAATGAAATATGAGGTTGTACGCATAAAATCCAAGTTGCGAAACCACTTGTCCTGACCTTTCAGTCAAGGGTCATTAACAGTTAACCCTCCAAGGAAGGGCAAGACTGAGGTTGCGTAATCTGCCATGTTTGGTTTGGTTGATGAGCTTACTCGGCTGATGTGAGAATTGGATTAGAGATAATTATGCCTATGTTTAAATAAAAACATATTTTTCCTATATGAGCAGAGTTTCGAGACTAACTAAGTAGATTAAAGCATCCAATCAGACTCATATATCAAGTTTAAAGGAGTAAAGGAGAACCCAGATCTGGTTAGACAACATCTTTGTTATCTGAAATGAAAAGGAGAGAAGCTACTACAGCAAGGATTCCCAAACTGTGCTCCGCGGCGCCCGGGGGAGCCGTGGCCTCTTTACAGGAGCGCCGCGAAATATTGTAAAAGATTCAATTTGAGAAAATGTGCAGTGATTTGCAGGCTCATCCATCACATTAATTATGAAATATTAATTTAATGTAAATAAACTAAAAAAAATAATGCAGATACACAAGTTTTATTTACTTTTATCTCTTACTTACGAATAGTAATACTTATGGTAGGGCGCCATGGAAAAATTTTAATTGTAAAAGGGCGCCGCGACTAGGAAAAGTATGGGAACCACTGCGCTACAGTAAAATGTAATAGGAAAGGGGAGATCAGATAGGGAGAGAGGAGCAGTGGCTTAGTTTATCGGGGGTTACTTCGATTGGTGACAGGCTCCATTTATGATATTGATAACTTTTAGAAGTTATTTGACCGTGTTTTCGCAACTTGTTCACATTGGTAGGAAGACTTAGAGGAACGCACCTTGTTCGGAGTCCATTGTATGCATAATCATTTCCAAGTCGGACCGTGGACGTGGTACATTCCCATACGTTTCACCGACATCGCAGTCGACATCGTCAGTA